TTCAAAACATGTGATAAGCCACAGAGTGGAAGAGGCTTAACCCAAAATGCAATTGCCAGGGGCAGGGGCAGGAGGTGGGAAGACGGGACCCTGGAAAGGCTCCGGTTGGGAAATATGTGAAGGATGCAAGAGTGAAAAGGGATGCTAATATCTGAGAAGTAATTTAAATTCTTCCTTTAGAAGAATCGTCCAGTCTCTCTGTCTGAAAATGAAAAGTAACAGACAGCATACCATTTACTTCCAAGGGGGAAAAGAAGAAACAAGGTTATTTTCTAAAGGAATTAAATGAACTAACTGGTGATCTAGGGCTGCTAAGGTAGAGCCAGTACCTGCAGTGTAAGAGCCTTCTCATATAAAGCCCCTAGGTGATGATTCCCTGCCTGTTCCCCCTAAAGTGAAGCCTGCCAGCTGGCATGCGCCACCCATGTATATAGAGCCACCTAAGAAGAAAACCAATGGGAGTATAGATCTGTAGAGGGAACCCACGTGACCCACCAAGTAAAAGCAGTCCACACCTTCATCATTCAATATCAGTAGCCGTGGAGCCTAACTTCCCGTTCTTAAGTGTGGGCTGTGTACAGTGACTACCTTCCAAAGTGTACCGTATGGGAAGGGGGGAAAAGGAGTCACTTTGCCGTAGAGACAGACCACCTCGGCCAGGTGATCAGGGTCAACATCCGCAGCCATCAGTCATGTGGATAGTACGTAGCCTTGATACGATGTGATGAGAATAGAAATTTACTTCCGTGGTCCTCCTAAAACCCCGTAGCCCCAGTTTAAGCATGAGAAAAATATCAGACAAATCATAAAGAGGGACATTCTACATATACCTGAACAGTACTCTTCAACACTGTCAAGGTCTCAAAATGCAAGGCAAGTCTGAGAAACTGTCACAGCCAAGAAGAGCCTAGGGAGGTATGAGGACTAAATGTGATATGACATCCTGGATGGGATCCTGCAACAGAAAAAGGACATTAGGTAAAAACTAAGGAAATCTCAATAAAGTACGGACTTGAGCTAATAATAATGCATCAATATTAAGCTATTAATAATAGAAGAAGCCTGATGTGAGGTATATGGAACTCTGTACTACTTTCACAATTTCTCTATAGATCTAAAACTATTCTAAAATAAGTTTATATTTAAAATGCTTATAAAGAAAAAGATGAATTATTTATCAGTCACATGAAAATCAGTGACATCAAAGTTAAATAGAAAAGCTGACCCCAGAAGACACAGAGGTGACACTGTTGGGAACAAAAAGACTAAAAAATATGTCCTCTAGTTAGTACCCTGAGAGAGAATTTAAAATATTGCATCCACAAAACAAGAACAAGATGCTCTTAAAAAGGAACAAAAGGAACAATCTGAAGAGATAGAAGAGTTCTTAGAGAATAAATAAATAATTACTGAAATTTTAAAAAGTCACTAGGAAAGGTTAGAAGATAATGTCAAGGAAGTCTCTTAGCATGTAACTCAAAGACAAAGGCAAAAACAGACAATATGAGAGAAAAGAGACATAGAGGATCAATCAAGTGGTCAGTCAATTAATAAGACTTTAAAAAAAAACGTAGCCTTAACAGATGCTTTCGCCCTGCAGTGAATAATGTTTGTATAGTTATAAAACCAGATATAACTGATTGACTTGCAACTTTTACTATCTCTAGACAAAACATGGAAAAATAGTTACAGAATAGAATGCAAATGTTATGAACCCTGACAAAATGAAATAAAGGTACATCTGATAGAATTTGGATGGTTGGAAATGGAAGGAGAGTTGAAGGAAAAGGTAGGGTAATATGCACATTGTATGTAGTGAGGAATTGAGAAATATTATTTAATGTTGATGGAGTAAGAAACAGAATTTTAAGTGCATTATTTAAAATCACAGAAAAAAACAAAAGTAATATAAAATTTTAAAAATTGGAAGAAGAGGCTTTAGGAGATGAGCAACCCCAAATCTTCATCTTATATAATAGGACATGAATAGAGAATGTCTGTAGTTGACAAGTGGGAAATAGAGCTATGAGCATATTTTGTAGAACTACAAGGGAACTGTCATAAGAACTAAATGATTAAATAGAGGTTGTCTCTTGGGAGAAGAAATGGAACAGGAAATTGTTGCTTATAAATCCTCTCTTTTATTTTAGTTTTACTATGAATATGTATTACCTTAATTTTTAAGATTTGTTTTTGATGAGCTATTAATACTCTTCAAGGGGGAGTGATGAGGACAGTTGGAATGGAAAAGAGAACAGATGGGAGACGCTACAGAATATAACCAACACTTAACTGACTCCATGTGGGGGCAAAAGAGACATTTTGGGTTTTGAGCCTAAGTGCAGAGAAGAGTGACTAGGCAAAGTAGTTAGTGGGGCAGTTTGGGAGGGATGATATATAGTTTTTACAGGCCTGTTGTAATTGACAAAAAGTTGCCAATATTCGTATTTAAAGGATAAAAACTTTTTCAATGTTCATAAAGGGTACAGGGTTTTTTTTGTTCAAAGGTTGTTGCATGAGCCAGGAAACAGTGCAGCATGCTCCCAGACATAAAACAGGCTCTCTTATTCTTCCAGGAGTGCCTTTTGGAGATACACAGTTGCTGCTAAGAGCACCCATGCAGAGGGAGGGGTCCCCTGTTTGCAAGAAGCTCACCTCTGCACTCGAATAGGGGCCTTATACACCTCCCCAATACTGCCCACCTGTTCAGAATCTCAGGCCACCTGCCCGCCCACTCACTGGGTGCTAATAACTGATGCAGAATTACCTCCAACACGTTATGGATTGTTTACTGTGGAGCTTCCCAGGTAGACCGTCTCTTGGTAGGCCCAGGTTTCAATCCTACCTGAGTTCGAGTTCTGCAGAACTGGACATACTGAATTTGAAGTGGTGTCGGGCTATCTAAGTGGCAACGTCAGGCAGGCAGTTAGGAACTGAGGACTGGAGCTCAGGAGTGAGAGAGAGAGCGGTGTGGGAGAAGAGGCAAATTTGCATTGGATGAGCTAACCAAGGGCAGAAGTGTGGAGGCTGCCAGGAGATAAAAAGTCAAGGCGGAATCCTCAGGGAATGCCTATATTTAGAAATGGGAGAAGAAAGAGGAGGCTGAAAGGGCAGTTAAATGGATGAGAAGAATCAGAAAAGAACAAGTCATGTAAGCCCAGGTTGAAGAATATCAAGAAGGTGGCCAGCAGTGACCGCCGTCCCGCAGCGGAGCAAGAGGGCCGGGGTGGAGGAGAGGCACCCGGATATGGCAGACGGGTGGGCTCTCTGGTGGATGCCCACACACAGAGCAAGCTTGGGGGTGGGGAGGCAGGCTACAAGGCAGGCCTGGGCAAATCTGGTTGGACGAACTTCTTTCTCAATCAAGCCCCCAAAAGAATCATCTGCAGGAAATAAAGTCTTCCTGTGGCAGACCTTGGGAAGAGCGGGAGGCTCTAGAATGGGCACTGGAGAAATTGAAAAACTAAATCGCCTTCCTTCCATTATATTTTATTTGTTTACGAGTACAGTTTTTATAATAGCATCAACGGCTCTGGTTTGAGAGTAAGACTTACTGGTTTTCAGGTCCCTTCGATGGTCTGGTCACCTCTGATATACTAGCCACTTGTACTAAGTTAAATCATTTTGCTAATACCCCTGAGTCCACCTAAAATTCTTCATTGGTCATTGACACACACCTCACCTCATCACCACCTTCCATCTCCAGAACTTCTTTGTTTCCCACCTGAAACTCTATCCATTAGACAATAACTCCCCACTCACCCCCCCCACCCCCTTTTAACCACCACCCTACTTTCTGTCTCTACGAATGTGATTATTCTAAGGACCTCATATAAATGGAATCGTACAGTGTTTATCTTTGTGACTGGCTTATTTCACTTAGCATAATGTCCTCAAGTTTCATCCGTGTTGCAGCATGTGTCAGAATTTTCTTTTGGGGGCTGAAATATATTTCACTTATGTACATACCACATCTTGTTTATCCATTTGTCCATCAATGGACTCTTGTTGCTCCCACCTTTTGGCTGTCATCATAACGCTCCTGTGAACAAGTCCTCCCAGCAGAGTAGAAGCACACTGATGCTTTAGTGGGCTAGGTGTGTGTATCTGTACCAGGAGGTGCTTTCTCTGCTCAGAGCATGGTAATGGAAGCTCTGCATCGGGTGTTCATGCTCTTAGACATAAAGCTAACACATAGGAAAGCAGCTATTTTTTTCTGGAAGTAATTTTTAATCCTTTTTATTTTATAGTGTATATCTATAGTATTTGTATAATACATGATTTAATTTGGTAATAAGTATACAAAAGAGAACTCATCTTTGATAACTTTTAATAATGGTGTCCGCTATGATTTGGATAATCACAGATTCCCTAAGTATTTATGGCTTTCAAGTTTTTATAACCTCTTTGTGAAAGGTTGGCCATCCTAAAGAAGCTTTGTCCAGGATTTCCTTGGCTTGTTCTCATGTTCTAATATTCTGGGGAAGGGGAAGTCATCCAGGTGGAGTCGCTGTGGGTGTGGGTTTCATTTAGAAGACCCTGGTGAAGGGGATTGTTTCCAGATTCCATGGCAGAGTCCCAGCAAAGCCTGGAAGGTGTTGTATGCTGGCTTTGGGGACACAAAGTTTGAGTTCAGATCCTCGAAGCCTCTTATGAATGAGCAAAGAGATGTATCTGTTGCTTACTGAGCTCTGAGGATATGCCAGGAGCTCTTCTGGATATTCATTTAATCTTCACAACAGTCTTACCATGATTCCCAATTTACAGGTTACTGAACTGAGGTGCAGCAGTGGAGTTCCTTGCCTGAGTTTATTCAGTTAATAAATGGTGTCAGGATTCAAACCCAGGCAGCCTAACTCTAACTCTAGAACCTAGACTCTTAGTTACTTCGCTAAGCTGTCTTCTAGAAATTGGGATTTGCAGGGTGGAGGTTGGGAGGGAAGGATAAGGAGTATATGTGAAAGGTACGGGATGGCAGAGCAGCACATCAATGTTAGCAGAGGGTGTTGTTGTATTAACGATCCTCCCTTGTTAAAAACAAAAGTGTGATTTCTTAGCTTTTTGGAAGCAAAACCTGTCCCCCTCTGGCTCTGTGATCACCCCCCTGCGGAGTCCAGTTCAGGTGTGACCCAGTGCAGTTTCCAAGGGCTGCTGTAACAAGCACCACAAACTGGAGGGCCTAGAACAACAGAGATTTATTGCCTCACAGTTCTGGAGGCCAGAAGTCTGAAAGCAAGGTGTCAGCAGGGCCCTGCCCCCTCTCAGGGTGCTGTGGGAGGGCCTGCTGTAGACCTCTCTCCTAACTTCTGGTGGTCTGTTGGCAGCCTGATGTTCCTTGACTTCTGCATCCCCCCATCTCAGCCTTCATCTTCAAGTGGCATTCTCCCTGTGTGTCCAGATTCCCCTTTTAAAGACATCAGTCGTACTGGATTAGGGACCTCCCTGCTCTGGCATGGCCTCATCTTCAACTAATGACATCTGTAAGACTCTTTCCAAATGAGGTCGCATTCTGAGCTGGGAATGTTGGGACTTCAACATATGAAATCTGGGTGGGGGAGGCAGTTCAGCTCGTAACACCCGGTGTCTCCTTCTGGTCTCAGTGGCTCCACGACAAGTGGGGGTGAGAATGAGCGTGATGACGTGGAGCAGGAGTGGAAGCCCCCAGATGAGGAATTAATCAGGAAACTGGTGGATCAGATCGAATTCTACTTTTCCGATGAAAACCTGGAGAAGGACGCCTTCCTGCTAAAGCACGTGAGGAGGAACAAGCTTGGATATGTGAGCGTTAAGCTACTCACGTCCTTCAAAAAGGTGAGGCCTCGTGGTCGGAGCTGCCCCAAGGGCTTCAAGGCTGTTTGGGATTATGGGTCTAAATATGTTTTACCCTTTTGAAACCTAATGAGTAGTGACTTTTTACTTCCTCTGAGGCCTGAAAAATAGAAAAATGATCAAGAGAAGGGACTTAGGATTGTTAGAAGGAAAACTGTCCCCACTATCAAAAGGGTTCTGGGTTTGGAGACAGATCTCAGCAATGGTCTTTTGAGACACCTATCAGGCCTAGAATTGTGAACTTCAAGCTTTTCATTTGTCAAGTTGAATAAGCGAAGGAAGGAGTGCTCAGACGGGGATGAGCCTTCTCCAAGCTTTGGCTGCCTTTGCTGGGTAATGCCCACCTCCTCAGCTGCAGACGGAGACGTGGGGTCTGCCTATTGCTGCCTTCTGGGCAGCAGGCCGCGTGCCCTGCTGTGTACACGTCCAGCAAGTGGGCTCTGCTTGCCGGCTTCTCGAAGAGCCAACTGACCATGTGGCCTCGGAACTCTGTCTCCCTTGGGGGAAACGCATTTACTAGAATGGAAAAGCTGCTTATTGTATAAAGGGATGTGTAAGGAGTGGGCCCTGGCCAAGTTGTCAGGCAGCACTGAGGACAGCCTTTCTCCTGGCGCGCGTTTCTGCCTCACCCCCTGGTGTACTCTGCCCTCCTTTGTTGCCCTCTTTCCTTTATTCCTTCATCAAACATACTCATCCCGTATGCTGAGCACTGTGATAGGCACAGGATATACAAGATGGATTTGGCATTGCCCTGCCTTCGCAAACACCAGTGAAGGGGAGAGATTAGTGAAGGGTTATAATATGACCTTAGACAGCACCACAGAAGAAAGAACAGAGCACTGTTGGTGGTGAGTTGATTAGAGCAACTGACCCTGCCTGGAGAACTGAGAATCCTTCCTAGAAGTGGTGGCATCATTGGATGCTGGAGAACAAGTAGGAGTCTTCACGTGTAGGAGAGGGGAAGGGGCATTCCACGTTGCAAAGGCAACCCTGCTCTTCCTCCGGCTGCCTCCTTTCTTGCTACCCTGTTCCCACACTCACACTTCCGACGGCAGATGTGAGGGGAGGTTCTCACACCAGGCGTTTCTCTAACGCCAGCTGAGTGTCCTGCAATTTACCTCAATTCTGACACTGCCTCCCTGGAGATGGCATTAGATGCCAGAGGTTAAGGGCTCAGTCCCACAGACTGCCCCCCACTTCAGGTGCCAATCATAAGTAGTAGGTCCCCAGGTTACCCACAACTTCTGTCCAAATTGGCTACAAATCAGAGCTTCCTGTGACCTCCTCCTCTTGGATTTGATTATTTGCTAGAATAGCTCACAGAACTCGGGGAAACATTTACTTACGTTTACCCGTTTATTAAAGGACATAGCAAAGGATAGAGATGAACAGCCAGAAGAAGAGATACAGGGGGTGGGACCTGGGATGGTCCTGAGCACCGGAGCTTCTGTCCTGGCGGAGCTGGGATGTGCCACCCACCCACCTGGAAGCTCTCCAACCCCCTTACTATTGGAATTTTTTTGGAGGCTTCCTCACATAGACACGATTAACTACATTTCCATCCTCTCTCCCCTCCAGAGGACGGTGGGTAGGGCTGAAGGTCCCAAGCTTCTAATCATCGCTTGGTCTTTCTATGAACAGCTGCCACACAAGAGCCATTGGGAGCCCACCCAGAGTCATCTCGTTAGAACAAGAGATGCACCTAATGCTCTGATCCCTTAGGAGTTTACAAAGGTTTCAGGAGCTCAGTGCCAGGAATGGGGGCAAAGACCAAATGTATATATTTCTTATTATAAATCACAATATCACATATGTGCAGAGAATAGTGAGCAAGCCCTCACATGCAGAGTGTTTGTGGGGGACCCCAAAATGCAGCAGCCAGTGGAATCATCCTATACATTTCTCCTTTCCTCCCCAGACACCCTAAGAGTCATCCTTTTCCTTCCTTTTTAAGTTGCCACTTATGTATCTATTTAGGAGGCATCTTCTCTGTTGAAAATCAGCTGCAGAGTGGACACAGACTCCCCAATACCTCCAAAATGAGAGCAAAGACCCTTTTCCTTTGAAAGGGTTTCCCGCTAATCATAATAGGAAACCTTTATGACGGAGATAACAAACAGGGAAATGACAGCTTCTGAAAATCTCACAGAGTTCTTGTAGTAATTGCACAAAGCCCATATCCCCCTGGTTCCTCTTCTTAGCTGGTGCTTGGTCACTCCTCCTAAAGACACAGACACAGGCCTGGGACTCTCAGACCCAGGTTTCCCAGTGGACCTTGCACCCAGCTCTGGAGGGGTGCTGGGTCCTTGCCAGAGCCTGCTTTGCTCACTGCTGGCCCTGGCGGCTGTCACTTCTCCAGCCCTCTGAATAAGGCAGGACTGGCCTCCCCAGGCGCCATTTGCTCAGGCCCCAGGCTTAGTCACTAGATTCTCCTTCTCTCCTGAGTGTTCCCGCCCTGACTGGTTTTGGAGAATACGCCCCATGTTCTTCCCTGAGAGAACCAATGCTTGGCTCTCCCACAGCCTGGCACTGAACTGCGGTCATCACCTTCACCCTTTCTGGATCTCTCATTGCATCCATTCATCTATAGTCCATCTCTTTCCCTGGACGCACTTCTCTCTGTCCTTAGCCTGTGTCACGGTGATCAGCCCATTGAGTCTGTGTGTAGGTGACTCATGGTTCCCACACTCTAAGCACAAATCCGGGCCATTTCATCCAGAGGCCACAGGCTAGCGAGGCAGTGTCCTCTCTCCAGGAGCCTGCCTGTATGACTAAGAGCTCTGCCAGGGTCCTCCCAATGCTGCTCTGTGAGGGAGTGCTCCCTTCTTGAGTCCTAGGAAGTTCCTGCTTTGGTCTCAGGGTTCCTCTGCAGAGCAGCTGCTCTGACCTAGCCTCAGAGGACTCACCATTCCTGGATCAGGCCACCCACCCCACCCATCTCCACCGTTTCTTTGGGTGATTCATTCTCCCTGGCATTCCCTTCACTGGAAGTGGGCCTCTTGAAAACTACTATTTTATGATATAAATACAGCTTTCACATACTGCAACATTGATACCCACACTTTCCACTAAGGAAAGTGAGGAGGGGATCTATTTCACCATTCTCCATGAGGCCCAAGTTGGATTTAAGTCCAAGTTGAAACAGCCCACTTTATTTCCAGGAGATATTTCAGTGAAATATGAAACATCTTTTGGAACTTCCTCTATAGCAATGCATAAAAGCAGAAATACAACTCCAGAGAGGCATTTGAATGTTAAAATCTCTGAGTCCTATCAAAATGATAGCATTTAATGTTTGAAATAATGATAATGACTAACATTTATTGAGGACTCACTGTGAGCTAGACAATATTCTAAGATATATATATATTGTGTGTCTGGATATAGATATGTGTATACAGGATGTCCCAAAAATATGTACACACTTTAACACATTGCTAACTCAGTTAGTTTTCACTCCTTTTCAGGTTTAACTGATTTGAAATAATGGGTAAGGTCAGACTAAGCTTTAAACAAAGAAAACTTATCCTAAAATGCCACTAGACCTTTTTTATGGGGAGATATAAAAGATAAAGTTTTTGGTACAAAACCAGCAACAATTGATGACTTGAGGTCACACAAATACCGAACGAAATGATTGTTGATGTTTGCGATTCCATTGCTCCGGATTATCAGCAGTGCCTGGACCAGAACTGTCATCAGTTTGAAAACAGACATTTACCAAAAAAAATTATTCATTTCTTTTAAATTTTGAAAATGAACTGTATGCTAGTAAATGCTGACTTTATAATCATTCAAAGTGCTTATACATTTTTGGGGGGACACCCTGTATTCATTTAATCTTCAGACTGACTCTGTGAGGCAGGCTTATTAACATCTCCATTTCACAAATGAGGAAGTTGAGGTACTGGGAGATTGAATAACTTTTTAGGTCTCACTGCCAGTTGGAGGTGGGCCTTGCATTTGTGCATGCAACAGCGTTGGTCCAGAGCCTGCAGGTTTCCATCACCATGAAAAGTTCTGTTGGACAGCACTGCTCCAAACTGCGCTGCCTCATTCGACGTGCTGCGAAGCGTGCTTGTTCCCTCATTCATTCACTAGATTTTTGAGTGCCTGCTCACACCAGGAATGATTGTAGGTACCAGTGTTCCGAAGTAAGGAAAGGCAGGAGGGAGATTACAGAGGACACAAGGTGGACAAGGACATTAGGTACCATTTCAGATTTGCTTTGTGTTCTTTAGGTGAAACATCTTACACGGGACTGGAGAACCACAGCGCATGCCCTCAAGTACTCAGTGACCCTCGAGTTGAACGAGGACCACCGGAAGGTGAGGAGGACCACCCCTGTCCCGCTCTTCCCCAATGAGAACCTCCCCAGCAAGATGCTCCTGGTCTATGATCTCTACCTGTCCCCCAAGCTGTGGGCCCTGGGCACCCCCCAGAAGAACGGGAGGGTGCAGGAGAAGGTGATGGAACACTTGCTCAAGCTCTTTGGGACCTTTGGCGTCATCTCATCAGTGCGGATCCTCAAACCCGGGAGAGAGCTGCCCCCTGATATTCGGAGGATCAGCAGCCGGTATAGCCAGGTGGGGACCCAGGAGTGCGCCATTGTGGAGTTCGAGGAGGTGGAAGCGGCCATCAAAGCCCATGAGTTCATGATCATGGAATCTCAGGGCAAGGAGAACATGAAAGCTGTCCTGATTGGTATGAAGCCACCCAAAAAGAAACCTCCCAAAGACAAGGCCCAGGATGAGGAGCCCACCGCAAGCATCCACTTGAACAAGTCCCTGAACAAGAGAGTCGAGGAGCTTCAATACATGGGTGACGAATCTTCTGCTAACAGCTCCTCTGACCCCGAGAGCAATCCCACGTCCCCTATGGCTGGCCGGCGGCATGTGGTCACCTGCAAACTCAGCCCTTCTGGCCACCAGAATCTCTTTCTGAGCCCGAATGCCTCTCCGTGCTCAAGTCCTTGGAGCAGCCCCTTGGCTCAACGCAAAGGTGTTTCCAGAAAATCCCCCCTGGCTGAGGAAGGCAGGCTGAACTCCAGCACCAGTCCTGAGATCCTTCGCAAGTGCACAGATTATTCCTCTGACAGCAGCGTCACTCCCTCTGGCAGCCCCTGGGTTCGGAGGCGCCGCCAAGCCGAGATGGGAACGCAGGAGAAGAGCCCCAGAGCGAGTCCCCTCCTCTCTCGGAAGATGCAGACTGCAGATGGGTTACCTGTGGGGGTGCTGAGGTTGCCCAGAGGCCCTGACAACACCAGAGGATTCCATGGTGCACACGAGAGGAGCAGGGCCCATGTATAAATAAATACCTTCTATTTTTAATACCAGCTCCATTGAAAACCACCTCTGTTTTCAAGGTTCTGACAAATACCTGGCATGCCATAGAATGAAATTAAGTCTCCTTTCAAAGATTTTGTATACATGTAAACCTCTTAATTTATATATTTGTAATGTACATAAATTGTCCAGTACGCTCTGGTTTTAAGACCATCTTCTAGGTCAGAACACCCCTTCCTCCCGGCATGACCATCGTTGTGATGCTGCCGTGTGTGTGTGTGTGTGTGTGTGTGTGTCACGGCTCTGTATGGCTGTGGGATGGGCTCCCCGGGGAAGGTCTGGCAGCGAGTCTCTTCTTTGGGGCAGGGTTCTTCTCTCCGGTGACTAAGCTGTCCTCAGTTGGCCATGCAGGGGCTGCTGAGAGCCCAGAGGAGTTCTGTTGTGCAATGTCAACTAGTTAAGCCTGTAGCATGGTGTCTTCTAGGACCTAATATATGTTTCCTGTCAAGTGAATAAAAAATAAAATACTCAACTGGGAGTGCTGGCTCTGAAGTCATACACTGCATCTGACAAAAGTCTGCTGCCTGACAAGGCTGTGGTTAGCCTGTCATGAAGCCCTGAGGAGCTTAACAGAGACATTTCTTGAATGTGCCCAGGGCAGCCCCGGGGCTCTCCCTGGGGCGTCTGGCAGCCTGAGAGGTCAGCCCAGTTTGTGCAGATGTTAGAGCACCACACCTCTCACCACAATGCATCATAGAGCAGAAAACAGCTCAGTGTAGACCAAGGTCTCTAGATGTGGTCCCCTGGACTGGCATTGACATCACCAGGGAACTTGTTAGAAATGCAAATTCTCAGGCTTACTGAATCAGAAACTGGGAGAGGAGCCTGGAACCTGGATTCTAACAAGCCTTCCTGGTGATTCTGAGAACAAAGGTGTGGGGTTGGAGGTCACACAGTATGACTCCCGCATGCTACCCCCCCCCACTTCCTAGTTCTGTGACCTTAGGGCAGTTACTAGCCCCACTCAGCCTCATTATATCCCTGCAAAGTGCTTTGTTTTGATTTCAGTGCCTGAAATGCAGTTGGCCCTCCATAAGTGGTAGCTCCTTTTTCGTGGGTTAATGTACATTACCACTGGAAGCTGGCTGGATTTTGCCGAAGGAGCACTGGCCAAGGCTTCGGTGTTGGCTTATCCACTTGCTAGTTGGGGGATTTGGGGCAAGTCACATTTAACGGAATTTGTTAATAATTATTGAATAGTGATCAGATGCCAGGGACTGTGCTAAGAGTTTTCCATACATTATCTCATTTAATTTTCCCAAGAACCACTTGGAAAAGGTACAGATATTATCTCTATTTCACACTGGAAGAAACAGAGACATCATGCAGGTAAATGACTAACCTATCTGAGATTTAATGGCCAGATTGGTGGAGCTGGTGCCGGAGCCTACACTTTTACCACCGGACCATACTCAGCATCTCTGAACCTCATCATCCCCATTAAAAATAAAAGAACCACAAAAGGTGTGAATATTTATTCAGTACCTCCTATGTGCTGGACATTTTACTAGAAACATTCTTCCAATTACCTTCTCATTGCCCCAAGTAAGGTAATACCGAAAGCCATTGTGAAAATGGAAAGAGATAATGTGTTTTAAATTATACAGCTCTATACAAGCTAGCCGGTGATTATTATCTGGTTAGTAAGATAGTGTGTCCCTTTGAAGACCCAGGAGAATTCCTATTAACTGGTAAGCACCTCCAGGAATTATGCAGATCTGCGATCTCCACCACTACCAGCTATAGGTGGCCCAAAGCCTCCCCACCCTGGGTAATGCTGGCCGCTCCAGGCCTCTGTGCTTCACTCCCTGCCTCTGCCTCCACTCGCCCTCGCCTGATCCTGCCCCACAGGCACCTGCTGGCTCCTGGCCATTGGGGCCCTCTGGGCTTCACCAGCTCTGGGTCTGGTTACATTCAGACTCTGTTTTTAGATTCAATCCTGTGGATCATAATTTCTTTGAAAAAACACCTATACTCTCACCTTTCTATGTGAATACAGATGAACTTGGCCTTGTGTTTGTAATATTGCCCTGTATGGCCGTATGTTGGGACGCCGAATTTGGGGTCAGCAGACCTGGGCTCTAGCTTTTCCAATAAGTAACTTTTTGAGCAAGTAATGACTTTTTAGAGTCGGTATTCCCATCCAACCAGTGGGTAATAATAAGATGCTCCTGAAACAAGGCCATGTATGCGCAAGTGCTCTGAACTGAGAGTGCTTTGCAGATGTCAGTCATTATCCTCCGCTCTGGTCACCCTCAAAGACAAACCCTCCTTCTCGTGCTCTGGTGCTTAGCCCCAGCCTCACTTCAGAATCACCTGGAGAGCTTTTCAAAACTGCTTGTGTCTACCCTGACATAGTCGGATTCAATTAGTTATGGGTGAGACCTGGGAATCAGTGGGCAGGCAGGGTGAGAAGCACCGACCCATTAGAATGAGGAGGGCGCTCGGAATAACTGAGGGGGCCTTAGATACATTCATCCCCTCCTCCTTTGTCAAGGCTTTGGCTTGGTCTCTCTTGCATGAGCACCTTGCTGATGAACCTACTCTTTCTAAAGCTCTGGCCAAACCTTCAGCAGGAGCCTGGGCATCCTGTTTGTTAGCATAGCAGGCCTTTCTTTAATAGCTTGACTGGGAAACTCAGCCAACAGTATTTTTACAGATGTTTCATTATTTTTAATGAAAACCAGCTCCCTCTCCATATTGGGATTCAAAGCTTGCTGGACATCTCCACCCGAGGTGCTGGCAGGACATTCAAACTCTATACTCATCCAAAGCGCCCTCCTCCAACTGCACCTTCCACATACACATGCACACCTGCTCCTCCTGACTTCCCATCCCGGCCAGGGACACCACCATCCTCCATGGCCCCCAGGCTGGAAAAGAGACTGTAGGGCATATGTGGAGAATGCAGGTTCTGGGCTTTGACAGCTGGGCTCACACTAGGGTGACCTTTGACAAGTCACTTAGACTCTGCGCCTCAGTTTCATCTTCCATAAAAGATGGAATATTCCCACCTCATATGATTAGTGAGGATTAAATGAGTTAGTACCTGTAAAATACTTAGTAACTTGCACATGGTAAACACTCAAAGAGTGTGAGGGTCAGCAAGTCAGAGCTGTTGGTTCTAGCCCTGAAATATGCCTTACATGCTTCTTCCTCCCCAAGTCCTCATTCCCTTCTCCCAAGGTCTTCAGTTTCTGGCCCGCCTCTTTAACCTCCCTCCTAATGCCTCCAAGCTCACTTGCTAGAGTTCTGTTCACATAACTTCTTTACTTTAAAAAACAAGCAAACAAGTTGCTGCCTCTCCTTTCCCTAAACACAGAATAATGGGCAAACTGCCCCACGCCCCGCGTGCTGGGTGTCTTGGGGGAACATTAGCTCTGTTGATCCAGAAGCGTGTCCATGCCTGTGTCTCATCTACCATTGCATCACTCCAGGGTGTGGCTGGGTTGAAAAAGGCACTGTTTGCTTTCTGCCACATGGGACTGAAACACTGAGAAAGGGCTCTTTGAAGACACATTGGTCACTGATTATTTTTAACTACTTTCCCTAAAATGTGCACTCGCTTTTTCCAATAGTTTTCAGCTACATATAGCTACATATTCTACCCTTGTTGGTAGCAAACATGATGGAAAAGCACCTAGAAACTAACAGCAATGCTTTAGGAGAAAAAGAAGGAAACAACAGGGAACGTTGACTTCTGGTTCCCAGCACCAGCTTCGATCCTGGTGAGTGCCCATTCCCTAATGGAAATATACCCTGTAAGGGACAGCTGAGTATTTCATCACATGAAGCACCTCTCACGATGATGGGCATGTTGATGGGCTAGACCTTTGTGAGGCTGCCAATGGAGAGGGAGTCATGCCAGTCACTCATTGCTCTGGGAGCTGGAATAAATCTGGTGAGGGTCATGTCTGGAGTGTGTATGTAGTCCAGCCGGTAAACTGAGCTACTTTCACTTGGACCATTTTCTAGTTGAGCAGCTGCTTGCACAACACTCCTCATTTGGAATCAGCTCTGGGATGAGCAGAAGCAAGGGAGACGTGTCTTGTGACTGTACACAAACATCTAATTAAATTCCACAAGTATTCTATATGAGTAAAAGAAACAGTGGGTTGAAGTACTTTGGATGAAAAGATGAGTAAAAGAAACAGTGGGTTGAAGTGCTTTGGATGAAAGATGAAGCCTGAATGATTCTTGCCCTTATCTGTAACTGGAATGTGCAGTAGGTTCAGACCTGCTCTCTCAACACTGCACTTATTATTAATCCACCTTCAAAGATGAATTTGAGGTCAATTTGTTGCAGCTTTTCAGAATGGTAGCCCCTGGAGGCAAATTCCTCCCATTGGTTTGCTCTCTCTCTCAGCGCCCTCTGGTGTCCAACCTAGGACACAGCCCTATCTAAAGGGATTATAACTCAACCCCTGCTTAGAGTCCAGTTTATGCTTTCACCTTTGGGGAATAAGAAAAATCCTAGCTTAAATTCCAGCCTTGCTGCTTGCCAGACTATGAAGCTTGTCTCACCTCTCTAAGCTTCAGTTTTATCATCTGTAGATGAGGAACATCAGTGTTCTTGTAAGGATTAAAGGGGGTAATATATGGAAAATACTTCACACAATACTAGCTTAAAGAAATTGCTCCAAAAAAGCATGTCATCACTAAAACTCATCCTAAGAAGTATGGGAAAGACTTAACCTAGAACACTAATCACTTTGCATTAGAGTTAATTGTTTATATACCATTCCTTTGCTGGATTATGAACTATGAGGTAAAGACCATGTATCTCAAAACATCTAACTTAGTCTGGTCCATGGCAGGAGTTCAGTAAATATTTGTCGAATGGATATTAAATAAAATTTTGTTTTCCTCAGCCTTAAAAATATTGTACAGTGTATTATAAATTTAGTGTTTTCAAACATCCAAGCAGACACTCTCACAGGCCACATAGATTCTAAGGGCTCTTTGACAACTCCTTTTCCTGAAACACTCTGGCCCTGGAATGCACCTTGGAGTGTCTGTAATGTCCCATCATAACCTATTGAAAAGCATATTCTGCATCATTAAGCCTGGGATGGGAAATCATGAACTCAGAACCCCTGAGGAATCTGAAAAGGAGTGTGAGTACTTAGGAGAGATGGGAGGAGCTTAGCAGTGGAGGCCAAATCAGGACTGAGAAACCACCAAAGCTGCCCCTCATCTGTGTAAAATAAGGGTGATGGTCCCATCCTGAAGCACCTGGAATACACTCTGAAGTGCCAACCCAATTATCAAGTGCCCAAATACATTCAATTATGCAAATGTACTTGAGACTCTAATACGTCGTCTCAAGTGGACAAAAGGCAGATTTCAGAAATAGAACAATTATGAACATGAATAAATATTTTCTTTATCCAAAAAATGATTATTCTAATACCATAAGTTCACAAACTCACAATCAAGAACAGAAAATAAATGAGAAAGACATGTATATTTGTTTTG